GGGGGGGGGGGGGGGGGGGGGGGGGGGGGGGGGGGGGGGGGGGGGGGGCTCGACCCTATTAAGCTGGCATGTGTGGCTGTGTACATATGTTCATACATGAAGAGAGATTAAAAGTTCTCTGCTTTTTTTTTGCAGTGTTAAAAAATTTGCATGTATGTACTTATGGACATATGTGTACTAAGTAAATTGTAACTGTATGTAATATGTATATTACTTATTATTACGTTCCTTTACTTTTTCTGCTTTCTGATCGCTCTTCCGTCAACTGTGATGCCCTTTCTGCTACTGCGCTAAATGATGACTTATGCTTTTGTTGTTTTGCTGTCACTGCTGCTAATTGCTAAGTTTTTAATATTAATGTTGATCGAATCCTCGTTGACACTTGATGAATTTAGGCTTATTTTTTGGTTTTGTTGTTGTTGTATTTCTGTCTTTTGTTTTCGCTGTTGCTTATATGTTTTTTGTATAAACGAATATTAACCGTCTAAAAGCTAACCTAAATCGACAGGTCATGACCGCTAAATGACCTTTGAAAAATCTACAAAAACGGGCAATAATATTTCTCATAAAAGCGAATAAAATTAGGGGGTAGGGTCTTGAAATTTCAAAAGAAAAAAAATTTCGATGGGTATTTTTTTAAGTAATTCAGTGTAATGTTCACCACACTTCACGTTTTGTTTGTGTGTTTGTAAATTGTATTTATCTTCACAGGAGCCTTTCTGCATGACGAAGAAAGACAATAGCAATGCGGTGGCTTTCACTGCGTTTTATTTAAAAATAACAGGCACTCGCGTTTTGATAAAAAACTTTATACATTTTTTATTTAAGTAAATGATATACTAAGGGTATTCATCAAACCTTATAAATGCATTGTAAACCGTATAAACTTATAATTGTGTAAACCTTATAAATGAACTGTCAAAATTTGTATGGAAACTCGTTTACACATTTCTGATAAATTTATCCAGCGATTTTACTGAATAAACTTGATAAACTGAAGACAATGCAACTCTGTCGCAACTCTAGCTATGTTTTCTTAGGCAATAATCGGGATCCGCATACAAATTTTGCACGCAAATTCAACAACGATATGATCCTGATAGAGATCTGGTTCAATTATTATCCCGTCTGTTTGTTTTGTTTCACTGATAATTCGCAAAGTTTGGTAGCCGTGACAAATGAATTCATACACAAACAGACATTCTGCCATTGTTTCTTATAACTTGCTTCAAATAAATAGCCTTTATGTTATATGTACATTTATTTAAATAGATATCTCGTAAATATAATGTTTTCCAATTTAGTGAGGTAGTTTCTATAGTTTCGNGACCTTTGAAAAATCTACAAAAACGGGCAATAATATTTCTCATAAAAGCGAATAAAATTAGGGGGTAGGGTGTTGAAATTTCAAAAGAAAAAAAATTTCGATGGGTATTTTTTTAANCGCGAGGTCACTCTTGCATTTCGAATGTCATTTTAGTTTTTTCACATTATTTTTCAATAGGAAAAGGTATAAAAGCAGAGAAGGCATTAGGGCGTCCCTTCATCATAATCGGACTTGTGCAGTTACAATTCATTATTTCGCGTTCATATATAAGTTGTGTTCCTCAACTTTTCTGGATAAAAGCTGTAAAACTGTTAAATAGCAAAAGAAGCCAGAGAACCGAGTACGGGAACGCTTTAAGGTAAATTCTTGCAACTTCTTGCGAATTAGGGAACGCAACTATCCACAAGACTTTAGGTTATCGATATATTTTCAAAGAATATGCAGAAAATAATCCTTTCTGAAACGTAAACATTTTATTTATCTCGTTAATTCAGTAACCAAGTGAATAGTGTAAAAATGGCCCAAGTATAATTTCAAACTTGTTTGAGTTTTTGTATACCTATATTATGTTTAAAATACCATAGTTGTCGTCGATTCCCAATTTAGAAAGTTATCGAAATTGCAATTAATAAAGTTAATGCGACTTATACTTGATAAGGTATTGTTTGATAGTGAGTCTCCATACTTACATTCAGTAAATAATCATACTTGGATCCACATCCAGTTTAAGTACATTATTGGATTCTTTTAATTTAATCTATCAGTACCAACGTGAGCGAGCTTTGCTCGAAGTGCATATACTTTTTAAAGTTTTCAAGGTTTGTGTATCAAATACTGGTCATTTGGATGGCTTTAAAAAAGATATTTGGAAAAAAAATTGGCTTTTGATATCTAAAAAGTAAATTTCTTGCTTTACAATTTAAGTTAGAAATACGCTGAAATGAATTCATAAAAAAAATGGTGATTGAAATTAACCAAATTAAAAATTTATCTAAAACATTTTCGGACCAATGTTCTCACCAATACCTTTCATTTGATATCCATACTGCGATGTTTTAGATAAATTGTAAATAAGTGGCAACCTTACACTAATATCCTAAGGGATAACTCTTAGTACATAGGGAAAGCATTGTTTAAAAAAAAAATAAATATGCGTTTCAAAATAGGTGACAACACTATTAAAAATATTTTTGAATTTGAGATTTTTTAAATTCCTTCTATTTGATACCCATATGATGATGTTTTAATTAATTTGTAACTAATTTCGAATAGGTGGCAACCTTATATGAGTTCTCTCGGAGATAATACCCATTTAGAAAACCTTTAAGTGCAAAAAATTATCAGTATATAAAATTTCATCAAAATCGTTACAGCGTTTCCGAGAATCTTATGGATATATATATTTATATACAAGTATTGCTCGTTTAATGTAATAAGATAACAAATTTTTCAAATTTAACTATTTGACAAGTCACCACTGTAGCACAAAGATGAGATACTGAGCCATAACTTAGTAAAATTTATGACATGTAAAAGTGTTGAAACCCAAATACAATAATCCTTGAAAGATTCAGGAACATTTTGAAAGGAATATGAAATTACATAGTAATGAAGTGTTTCGAGCTGCAATGGAACTTATTCCTCCCTAGCTAATTCTTTCGCATTACATATTGCTTATATTTTAAAGTTAAATATACAATTATAAAAATATTTAAACTGTAGGACTTCTACAATAGTTATTCGTTATTTTATTTGGGTTTGCGAAATAAGGACCGGGTTATAATCACAGTAAAGGAACGGAGTAAACTGCCGTTTAATTATCTGTTGTATGTGAAATGAATCCAAATGGTTAAAATGCACGGGAAGTTTAACATAATAACCAAACCGTTTTCCCAAACCTTGAAGAACTTTGCTTGTGTGCTTTCTTACCAGTGTTTGCACATTTTTATTGGAGTATTCAATGGACTTTGTATGCATGCAAAATTGTATTGTAAGGATGCCGATTCAAATTAATAAAAATCAATTTATTCTGTTTTTTATAAATTCAAATATCTTTGTTCCAGCGGCGTTAAGATTCTTGCTCTTATTCTCTAATTTGCAGCTGTGTCCAGCGTTGCGGTCTAGCTTAGATAAAGCCAAATTGATTAATTTTTCTTAACTGTTTAAATGTTATAATTTTCTTTGTTTTGCTTAATTTTTTCTACAATTCCTATCAAACGAAAGAAAAACCCAGAAAAAAAGTTTCATAAACTATGTGGTAGTTTAAATCTACACTGCAGACTCTTATGATCTCGTGAACTAAAGGAACATAAAGAACTTTTCTTTCCGAAAGCTTGATTTTCCTATTTAATGTGTCTCAGTTGAGCCTACTGTGGGAAAAATATTTTTGTGTCAAAAGAGCCGTCCCTCCCGATTTTGATTATTCTCTTTTTTCAAAAGGTTCGTTAGATATTACTTTTACTGTTTTTGAACAATCGTAAAAAATATAACAAATTCTTCTAAAGATCTAAGCAGAGATTTCTGGTCCCAGCATTGGCGAATTACCGAATGTAATTTTGAAATGATTGAAACTGCTGCCACATATTTTATTGGTAAACATATGCTCTCTCGCTTATGATTGCCATTGTGAAATGATTTTGTTTAGATTTTTGTGAAGTTTCTTACAAAACTTACGTTTTCTATAAGTTTTGCCCCCGTTTTTGTTAAGATTTACAGATTTGTTGTCTTCAAACTAAAAAAAAAAGCACCAAAAACGTACCAAGCACTCAACTCCAAAATTTTTGCGTTTTGAATAAAGAAAAGCACTAAATTTAGTGCGAAAAGCACCAAGTTGGCAACAGTGTTTCGTACACCTGTGGATCAATGCGCGGGCTGTTGCGCTTAAAATAAAAAAATAAAATAAAAATATAATAGGCGTGTTTCGACCCGCACTAATATACAAACATACTTTTGTGCAGAGCTGTTATGATGTGACGCCGGCCTGGTGGAGAATTAATTCAATGGTGTGTCTTTGAAATTGCTGCTTCACTTTTTCGCCGGAAGAATCTGGAACACTCCGTATGCAGAACACTGCCCTTTGCAAAATATAAGTTGCGTTCCAGATGCTTCACGATTTGCAGGTTTTTACAGGAAGCCGTTCTGGGTGACCACCTCCCATAAGCTTTATTAATGGAGAAAACAGCTGTTCCTGCAAATCGTAAAGCATCTGGAACGCAACTATAATAAAACACACACATGCACAACTTTCGTTTCAAATTACCAATACTTTATATAAATGTCGCTCTTAATATTTTCCGTTGAACCGCCTGTGTGTTTAGCTACGCTTCGAATGAACGTCTTTTACAATGTAATCTTACATTCTACCCATGAACCATGATTCAATAATACAAGGTTCGATAAACTGACAGTTGTCTCTCTCGCACCGCTCCCTTAGCAGTGGCACAGTGTTGCTTCTTTGCAAATTTACATGGAAACAGTGTAGCTTTGGTGTGAAATAGAAGTATAAGATTTTGCGCAATATGTTTATATGTATATGCATATGAAGCATATTTAACTGATGAAAACATAAACTGTTTTTAAATTGGATGTTTACATCAATCTCTTAGTAGTCTTATTTTAATTTTGAGTCATTTTGCAGTTTTTATACAGCTAAATAGCACATAAATTACGTAATTCACGTAGATATATCAATATTACGTTCAACATTTCGTTTAAAATACCAGATTTCCTGCAAATACATTAGAATTTACAAAAGGAGTTTCACTACTAATTGCCTACTTTGCGTACTGTTCTACTACCATTTTCGCACCAAGATATTTCATTCTTCCCCTTTCTCCGTCCTTCGTAAATGCAACCTTTTGTAAGGGAGTGTCAAACCGCAGCTGTCAATAATTATCTAACCTTGTATTATTGAATCATGCCCATGAACGAAAGACACAAGATCACGCGCTAAGGAATGAAAGAAAAAAGTTATTTTCTAGCTGTTGAAATCTCGACGCCATCTTTGTTGTAAGAAGTAAACAACGAAGAGGATAAAGAAAACCGCGTAATTGTTGAACGCGTGAATACTTATTTTTATTATGCGAATTCTTCTATAAATCCTGTCGTTGCGTTAAATTATTCTTTACCTTATTTGTACACACGTTGTCACAAGCGAAAATGAAGAAAATTGCAGTAAAAAACTACGACCAAATTGTAAACAACGAACAAATGGAAATAAACGGCTAATGTCAAAATCTCCCTACTTATTTCCTAAATGCGATTATAACGGGCTACTCTTCTTATAGCGTGATCTTGTATTTTAGGTTTATGCATTCTACCGTGTGCGGGTTGTAAATTCTAGCAGTGTTGCATCTTGAATGTTGCCATTGCTTAGATTGCCACGTCGCGAGTGAGTGGTGGTGCCATTAAACCATCCGCGTTCTTGAAAAGTTGTTTGAGATAGGACGTTTTCGAACTGAATGCCGAGATAGGTCGATCTTCCACTCAGCAGTCGATATACTTCTATAGTAAGAATTAGCAAGAATGATAGAATACAAGATTGCGCCAATCGAGCTGAGAGCAACTGGCCGTGACGTCAAGAAGCATCGAACAAAAGGCAGTATTGCCAAGTTTTGAATTTGAAAAAGCACCAAATTTTTATTGGTGTATTTTATGGACTTTATATGAATACTTAAGTTTATTGTAAGGATGGCGATTCAAATTAATAAAAATCAATTGGGGTGTTCACAGTTCGTTCCAAATAGTGTCTGAAAATGTAGACATCTACATTTTAAGACGTTTTCTAACCGTAAAATCTGTGGTGTTGTTGTTTCCCATACAAAATTGGAAAACGACGCCGTCTACATTTTGTCACACTCAAAGGTATGTTTATTACGAGTCTACATTTTGCAACCTCGCAGCAGGGTTGCATTATGGCAATACTAATCACATTTTTTTTATTTATTGGGCACGTTTTTTGTATTTGCATTTAATTTGAATGCAATTTCTGATGAAAAGAAACAAATCAAGGAAAAGAAATAACAAATATTAGGAATTGGTAATTAAGTTAAATAATTACAATTTTTCAGAAACAAAATCGAAAGGCGATATATAAAAAATGCACGCAAAGAGAAAATGTCTGGCAACACCAGCAAAGTTTTGAGACGATTTTGCGACGACTGCTAGAAAGGGGTGCTCACAGTTTGATGCTAAAGATGTCTCAAAATGTAGACGTCTACATTTTCAGACATAATTTGGAACGAACTGTGAACACCCCAAATGTTTCTTGCACAACGGTCGATTTCTTCTGGCATGATTGAAGGTGCTACACATATTTCGTTTTCGCTTATGATTGTCACTGTGCCATGATTTTGTTTAAATTTTTGTAAAATTGCTTAGCACACTTACGATTGCTATAAATTTTGCTTCCATTTCTTTAAGATTTTCTAATTTGCAGTCTTCAAACTAAAAA